GCAAAGTCTACCCAGCTTCTGGATATGGCCCAACTGCTCATGGCTGAAGCAGCAATGCTACAAAAAAGAAAAGGTTCAGATTCGGACTCTGACGCATCTGATGCCTCATCTCAACTTCCCTCCAAATGGGCAGATCAAGCAGATCTTCAAGATGCCCAAGATCCGTTTGATTATTAATATTCAGTATTTGCCCATGTGATTGTGCCAGCCAAACAACATCATCAGCAGTAGCTGCTTTCATCTCTTCCGTAAAAGAATTATTCTCCAATAGTGAAAAACAAAAATGTCACTATTCACAATAGTGAAAAACAAAAAGGTCACTATTCATTTAACTTTTGTAAAAGAATCAAAGCATCTTCACTATTCATTCAGCTTTTGTAAAAGTATCATCGTGACTCCACAGTAAAGGTTCTTCAGTCAGTCAGCGGGATTCCCGGATCCATTTGGCAAGCCTCATTCAGTCTCCTCACTCTATATAAGGAGGACTCATCTTCAGAAGAAGGATATAGTTTTTTAAACACCCTCTGCGTATTCGCAAGAACAGAGAATATTTCAAACACTTGTAATACATATTATTCAGGATGCCTGCGAGCTCCACTTTGTTTACTTATTTCATCTGCCATTAGGCAATACCTGTTTGTAATCTGCATTGCAGTAAGTTTTCAATAAAACTTATTTTCAAAATATATTTGCATCATTACATTTAATTCATAATTTTCTTTACATGCTTTACTTCCGCACTCTGAATTATATGGAAGGCTATGCCTCCTGCTGTTCTTTTTAATTCAATATATTGATATGTTTCTTTTAACTTTTTATATGCTTTACTTCCGCACTTTATATTCTATGGAAGGCTATGCCTCCTACCTATATATATATATATATATATATATACACCATTGAACTTGATGGGATACGAAACTAGTTTCAACGATCTAACCGTCAAACTTGTTTGTATATGCTTCAAGATCATGTAAACCAAAAATCGTAAAAAACAAACATTTAGAGATCAAGTAACGAGACAACACTTTTTGACGGTTATAAACAAAAAAACACGATTTATTGGTAGTTTTAACTCCAATTTTGATGATTTTTTTAAAGCTACACTCCTTGACCCTATATGAATACAATGAACTAATTCGATCTTCAATTTAAAGCATTTACACTAGTGGATACCACAAAATCTTATGTTATACTTGATGAAAGTATAAATAAACTCCAAGTGTTAGTGAATGTATCGTTAATGGGATACGCATTCTATGAAACTAGTTTCAACGATCCAACCATCAAACTTGTTTGTATATGCTTTGAGATCGTGTACGTCAAAAATTGCAAAAAACAAACATTCAAAGATCAAGTAACGGGACAAAACTTTTTGAAGGTTATAAACGAAAAAGCACGATTTAACGGTAGTGCAAGAACACCACAAGAAAAGCAAAAGGGAAAAAAAACGCTTTGCACGACAAAATAAATAAATTGAAATCTACTTACTAAATATATATACCATTGAAATTGATAGGAAACACATTGTACAAAATTAGTTTCAACAATTAAACCGCCAAACTTGTTTGTATATACTTCGAGATTACATACGCCAAAAAAAAATAAAAAATAAAAAATTCAGAAATCAAGTAATAGGACAAAACTTTTCGATGGTTATAAATGAAAAAACACGATTTAATGGTAGTTTTAACTCCGATTTTGATGATTTTTTAGAGCTACACTCCTTCACCCTATATGAATACAATAAACTAATTTGATCTTCAATTTAAAATATTTACACTAGTGGATACCACAAAATCTTATGTTATACTTGATAAAAGTATAAATAAACTTTAAGTGATAGTGAATGTATTGTTTTGATAGGAAATGCATTGTACGAAACTAGTTTCAACGATCCAACCGTCAAACTTATTTGTATATACTTTAAGATCGTGTACACCAAAAATTGGAAAAAAAACAAACATTCAGAGATCAAGTAACAGGACAAAACTTTTCGACGGTTATAAACGAAAAAGCACGATTTAAAGGTAGTTTTAACTCTGATTTTGATGATTTTTTAGAGCTACACTCCTTGACCCTATATGAATACAATGAACTAATTCGATCTTCAATTTAAAATATTTACACTAGTGGATACCACAAAATCTTATGTTATACTTGATGAAAACATAAATAAACTCTAAGTGTTAGTGAATGTATCGTTTTGATGGGAAACGCATTATACAAAACTAGTTTCAATGATCCAACCGTCAAACTTATTTGTATATACTTCGAGATCACATACGTCAAAAATCGCAAAAAACAAACATTCAGAGATCAAGTAATGGGACAAAACTTTTCAACGGTTATAAACGAAAAAGCACGATTTAACGGTAGTTTTAACTCCGATTTTAATGATTTTTTAGAGCTACACTCTTTAACCCTATAAGAATACAATGAACTAATTTGATCATCAATTTAAAACATTTATACCAGTAGATACCACAAAAAAAAGGCAATGCAAGAACCCCAAAAGAAAAGCAAAAGGAAAAAAAAAAAACACTTTGCGTGACATAGTTGCGCAAAGTGTTTGTTTTTTTCTTTTGCTTTTCTTTTGCCCTTTTGCTTATGAGTACAAAATAAATAAATTAAAATCTACTTACTAAACATATGTACCATTGAACTTGATAGGAAACGCATTGTACGAAATTAGTTTCAACGATCAAACTGTTAAACTTCTTTGTATATACTTCGAGATCACATATGCCAAAAATCGCAAAAAAAAAAAAAAAATCATTCAGAGATCAAATAATAGGACAAAACTTTTTGACGGTTATAAACGAAAAGTCTCGATTTAACGGTTGCTTTAACTCCGATTTTGATGATTTTTTAGAGCTATACTCCTTGACCCTATATGAATACAACGAAATAATTTGATCATCAATTTAAAATATTTACACAAGTGGATTCCAAAATTTCCATTATCAAAACCTAATCCGTGAACCGCAAACTACAACACATAACTATGCATTCCCAAACTGTCCAAAAAATGGGACAATTCAAGAATTAATTGGACCGTAGTCATGCTTTCGCATCCATACACGAAATCCAACTAATTCTCAAACGGAAAACTAAGCTTTTCTTGAAAAAACTGTACGAAGTTAAGTAGTATTAACTTCGTAAAACAAAAAATAATTTTGTACTTGATGTACAAAAATATATGCATACAAATAAATTAAATCACAATAATTAATGAAACTAAATAAGATAGATACAAACTATCAATCCTTCTAAACCAAAAAATGGGACGATTCCATATTGACATCACCCAAAATTTCTATGTTCTATAGTTTTAACTTATTGTTTACCCCTTCCACTCCTACCTGAAAATTATTGTTTAAGGACCTATATGATGAGACCACGTATTCTAAATCGTAAAGGGTAGAGACTACACCTAAAATGATTACTAACCACGTAATAGAACAGTGGTTTGACAAAGCTATAAACTGGCTTCTTCTCTAAATCTCCAACATTCTAGTTTCCTCCTCCCAATTTGGTGAGAAATGAAATCTATCCATTTTTTGAGCACACATCAATCTATCCCTAAATTAGACCAAGTTAACTGAGCGGTTTGCAGTTTCTTAGCTTTTATTTCCCTAAACCTATCAAAATCCTTCATACTCCTAGTCATTCATTCTACTCATTCAATTGTTCAAAACCAAAACTCAACTTGTTAAAAATAAGCTAGCATTGACAAAGACAATTAAAGAAAAACATAAATACATAAAAATAAAAAAATCCAAACATAAATGTAATTAATAAATACAATACCTGAAGGTGAAGATGGTGAGGGTTGAGAGAGATAGAGAGTCTGAAAGAGTGAGGTTGAGTGTGAAGAAAAAGACCCATATGTGTGGTTATTTTAGAAAAAAAAGTTGTTGACTTTGCGCGATGCAGGTTCAACTACATCGTGCAAAGCTGTTTTGCGCGATGTAGGTATGCCTTCGTCGCGCAAAGTTGGGAAAAAAAGAGGTAAGCATTCTTGGTTTGGCGCCAAAATCTTGCACGACGCAGTCAACGTCGCGCAAAGTAGCTTTGCGCAACGAAGGAATGCGTTGGGCAAAGCTGTTCTGCGCAACGTAGCGCAGAGCTACTTTGCGCGACATTTTGTGTTTAGCGTCACGCAAACATACTTTGCGCCACGAAATTTGCTGCGTCGTGGAAACATGTTTTTGTACTAGTACAATCTGTTTTGAGGATCATAATTGTCTTTTTTCCAAGCACTTTTTTCATAGTTTGTCATTGGAAAAAAAAATGGATGTGTAGTAATTTAACAAACCATTTAGACATCTTATTAGCGTTTAAAAAACAAAGCAAATAAAAATGACTACCTTTAATCAAATGGTTAAAAGTTATGAGATTATGGTGATTTTAGAACAAATTTGAGAGAAGAATCTTTTTAACATATTCGATGTTATTTACACCAAAGAAGTGAGATAGTAGGTTAAACTTCATAATAGATTATTGATAATAATTTAAGAGAAGACTTAACAATTGACAGCTCGAATCATTTAACTGCATTACAAGCTTGCAAGCAAAGGCTCAACTAGCTTGTGGTTTGTATTGTGTCTTGTTTTTATGTAAAACTAACCCACATTCTGCGTAATTCTCAACCTTACCTCATATTTTGCTGTCTTGTTTTAGTCCAAATAAGCTTAATTGGTCGAATAACACTTCAACTGAAGTTTCTTCAATTAATCACCTATCTCGGGCCTCTGATAGGTATCTCATTAATGATGTTCAGGAGATTTTGCATCAGTTTACTCGGGCTACAACTTCTTTCATCCCAAGAGTTGCAACCAGCTTCAATAATGCAAAGCATATCTTGCAAAGCCATGAGTAATTTTAAAATATAAGGCATTGTGACTTGAGTTCTTATAAGAGCATATTTCTTTCTAAAGTAAAGAACTTAATATGAACCCAAAGTAAAGAAGAAGAAAAAAAACTGACAAATTCTTCTATGCCACTAAATGGTGTTGCCTAGGATCTGTGATATTGATCTTCCAATGCTCATCAGGAAACCTTAATTTTCTCGCCTCACTTCGTGTCGAGTCCAAATAATCCTTCATCTGCTTCGTCAGCCAACAAAACCTCTGCAAACCCTCGTCCATGGTGTCATGAACCCTCCACCACCGCTCGTGCGCCACGTCACTAGCGAAGACATGGCGCTCTTTGGTGTCCCAGTTACAATCATAATCCCTATAACAGAGCCATGGCTTCAACCCTAAGTAATGTATCGCAAATATCTTCGGTGGGTCAGCACCAAACTGCTTATCCTGAATGGTCGTATTATTTGTCCTATTCGCAGAAAAATACGTCATAGCATTCACCTTATTCAACACTCGGTGCCACCATATGAAAACTTCGTTGAGGTAGCCCTGGTCGCCGCCATTGTTTGAGACTATGTCGTCTCGGTGGTCCATTAAAAACTTGAACGTGCAGTTGGAAGGCTCGATTACCATGATGCCGGAGTTGAAGAGGTAAACAGAGTTGCCGATGGCAGACATTTGTGGAAAGTGGAACAGCAGATCGAGGTTTTGGAGAACGATGATGTCAGCGTCAATGAAGATGATTTTGTCGTATTCGATGAGCTGCCATAGGCGGAATTTGCTGTAGTTGTATTCGTTGTAGGTGCCGTTTTTGGCTTTAGGGTTTCTGATTCGTTTGATGACGTGGAGCTTCCACCCGGCGTCTGAGAGAGCGTCACGCTTAGGGGCGGAGATGGTGTTGTCCAAGAGAAGGACAAGGTCACGTTTGGTACCGGTTTGGAGTAGACTCTTGGCTAGGGTTATGGTGCCGCAAACATACGAGTCGGAGGAGTGGAGGACTGTGACGTAGGCTTCTCGCTTGGGTTTGTTTGTTGTGCTTTGGATTTTAGCCAGATCATACACTGTAACAGTTATTAAATTTTCATCAAGTTCAGAGATTATTGTAGAATACAATTATTTGTGTCACATTCTAGTACAATGGTGTATTATCTTTTTTTTTTTTTTTAAACCTGATGAAATAAATAGATTCGTAATTATATACAACTAGATATGACATATTTTCTCATTTAATACAAACTCTTCAATTTAGATGAAAAATGAATAAAGAATGTTTTTATACATAATAACTACGTATTGATTTTATACAATAACGTGTCTTTTTATTTTGTGAATATATGTGATATGTAAATCATATGCACAATTGCACACCGCCGATAATAAAGAAAAATGATTTTGATGGGAGAAGATGATAAAGGAAACAATATGGTCATAATTTGGAAGCATACCTTGTTGTCCCCAGAACGGCAAAGCCAAATTGCAACTGCCAACAGGCAATGATACCTTTTGCCGCAACCTAGCCATATCTGGCTCAAATAACCACCAATTCCCTTCCTGTCTCACCAAATCTTCGCACCTAAATATCTCCAACATAGGCCTACAATTGCTCCAAAACAACACTTTAGTTGTCTTCCTATTCCCATCCCCCTTTCCTCTCCTCACAGCCAGATTAGCCACTATAAGATGAACTTGGAGCCTAAACACCTCCCTCCTCCACCCTTCTTCCGGATACCTGCATGGCAACTTAGCAACCACCATGTCCATCTTCTCATATATTTGAATATTCGGCATTGGTATCTTTGGGCAAGTTGGGACGTCACTCTCTTCCTCTTCGTCGATCCAATTAGGAAACAAATCATCCCATTTGATGTTATCTGGAATGTGGTTAAAATGGATTGGTATGGTCTTTCCAAACTTATCCCACTCACGCAAATCATACTCATCCATATTTACCACAGCAAATTTCATCATCCCCTTCCCCAAAGTTCCATTCAAAAAGCTTGGTACCTCTATCTTGCTCATACTGCCTTTAGGCCTTGGTATGTTGCCTTTGGTCTCCTCCAATACTGGCTTCATCATGATCTTAACTCCATTATCTACCTGCTTACACAAAAATGAATGTTAATAACTAGTGTTGGAGAATAAAGCCTCACATTAAAAATATAATAAAATAATATACAATTTATAAGTAGGAAGTTCACTAATTAAGTATATTGTGACCAAGTTCCGATATAAAGACTTGGTACTATGGTTAAGGATTGAGTTGGAAAGTTCTTGATGGGAATATTTGTAAATATCAGGATTGATGTAGGTATTGTAATATGACATGGGCATTGAGTTATAAAATATGTACTTGAATTAGGTTCATAAAGTCATCCAAGTTAGAACCTAAGGGTATGTTTGGGTGAGCGACTTCCTAACTTATAAGACATTTAGGCCAGATGATGAAGAAATGGTTCACAAAAAATTAGATAAAAGGATTGGAAAAGCACCACATAGCATTACAAAAGGCATGTGAGAGCGATTTGCAAATGACTAATCCCTCACCCAAACATTTGAAAATCTCTCCCGCATGCTTTTTGTAATACTCATTTGATGAATTTCTAATCCCTCCTATCTAACTTTTTGTGATCTATTTCTTCATTATTTTGTGTAAATACCTAAGAATTTGAAAGTCCCTCACCCAAACATATATACCTAAAAGAAAAGGTTCTTGCTTAACTCCTCAAAAGAAGGGCACATTACTTTGTAATGGCACTCTCGCTCTGAGCACCTCAAAAGAGAAGAGGCGTTCTCATAGTAGATGGAGGAAGATGGCTGGAGAAGAAGGGTAACGTAAACAATGAAAAAGAAAGCAATAACAACCAAGTTGATTCGGATCACCAAAGCATTTTTCATCATGTTTTGAAGACCACATCCAACTTCAATCATTTTAATTTTGGGGCTCTGAGATTTAATAAACACTAGCTAGTTAATGATGGGAGATTAGAAAGTATAAATTTGGTGAGAGGAATTTAGCTGCAGTGGTTAGAGAACTAAAGACAGCGAAAGAACGCCATTTAACAAGCTCCAACTGCCTTTTCCTAGTACTTTGGGACTTTCCTTTCCCTCGCAGACAACAGCAAACAAGGTCGGAGAAGAGAAAGCTTTGCTTCTTCTGTATAGGTGTCAATGATCGTAATCCTTATGGTTATGGACAATTACATACTTTAGATTTCCAGAAAAATACCCTTGGATTGTCTCCACTCTCTCATTGCACAAATCATCTTGAGGTTTTTTATAAACTACTCTCTCTCTTTTTTAGGTGTAACTGTCTTTAAATCAATTTATTGATGAAATGGAATCACCTCTAAATGTAGGATCATGACTCAAAATCTAACAACGTGACATGACAAAAGTATATGTGATAAGATACCATACGTAATTCCATTGTGTTATATATATAACCATTGAGGATGCCATGTCACAAGCAATTGAAGATATCTTTCCATTAATTTCACTTTTTGTTAACAAAAAACAGTGGATTGTATTTTTCATGATAAATGGCAATATTGGTACTTAATTTAAAATGAATACATAGGCAGTGGCGGATTTAAAAAACTTGTTTGGAGGGTTGCATGTAAAAGTTCACAAACAATTCTTAGACATATATTAATTTAAAAAAAAAAAAACCATAGTTCCTTCATTCGTAATTTATCGAACAAATAACAATACAAGTTACATTTGTCAATGATGCGTTTTCGTACTTTGAAAACGTTGAATTATAGCTTTATTATCAATGGAAGAAAAAACATTGCTCTCAGTATAAAACAACATGATATCACTTAACCATTGATCTCCCAATCAGTTATGCAATGGATTTTTTAAAATATTCATAGTAGAAAAAGACTCTCTCCACTGAAGTAGTAGCAGACAATAGAATTAAAGCCAAAGTAATTAGCAATACACATGATTATATACTCTATTCCTCCACGACTCCACCACTTTTTTGCAAGACTGCCATTTCCTTTGAATGAGAAAATTCAGTACTTGAACACATATCGCCCAAGTTAATAATTTTTAAAAGAATAATAAGAATGACCGCTCCTCTTTGAAGCATTTTGTTAAGCAGTTAAAGAGCATGTATGAAGAACAAATCCAATCTTTAAAAAGACAACATCCAAAACATCCATGAATATTCACTAAAATTCGAGGGGGTCAGCTGGCCCCAAGCCACAAATCTACTCAAGAGTATTTGGATGCAGTAGTATTAACATATTTATGTGAAACCATGTATTTTTAGCCCTTAAAAATTTTGTTTTCTACTACAATAAAATTCAGTGTCGTTTTGAAGAAAACAAATCTTTGAGTATTGCATATGATTCTTCTTGTTGTAAACCTATTTAACTAAAGAATTATAAAGGGAGAGAGATGTTACATTGGCAAGAGAGAAAAGAGAGAATTGGTGAATTCTGAGGCTTGTGTTATTTCATTCAATTGTGCCTTTATTTATTGTTGTAAAGAATGGAGAATCCTTGCCTTTCAAGTAATACTTCTTAAATAGGACACTATCTAAAAAATACTATAGAATCCCATAAGAATTTACACAATCACACCCATAACTAAATTAGGACTGCAACACTTCTCCTTGAGTGTGTAAATACTCAAACAAAGGTTGCATTAGGTCTTCAATGATGTAGGCGGATGCAAGTCTAAAAAAACAGAAGAATGCATATATAAGTAGCAGAACTTACAAAATCTCGCTATGGTAAAACTCAGGGTAGAGTAAAAACACAAAGTCTAAGGAGAAATATGAGAACTTGCATTAAGTCAAAACAATACGCTTTCAGGATGCAAGTACAACACACACAAGGGTATGATCAACCCATGATGGGTGCCTCGTTAAAACCTCGTCAGGTAGCAAAAATCAAAAGGGAAAAATGTCCTAATCATAGGGGAAAAAAATACATTATGATCAAGCCAGTATACTTTTGGATACTCCCACTGAGTTTTGAAAAAACTTCCAAATGAGAATTACAAGCAATCCAATTTCGGCGCAATATGCTTGGTGTTGTGTCCTTTGATGTATCCCTTCTTAATCTGGTCGATACATGCTACGTTATCTTCTAAATTGTTGTAGGGATGTCAAAGATGGAGAAAGTCTGCTAGTGCTTCGAATATGTTCCACAACGGCTCTCAGCTAGAAGCATTTATGTATAGGTTCAGTAGGGCAAGAATTTCAGCATGGTTCAAAGAAGCCACAACTAAGGTCTGTTTTGTTGACCTCCAAGATATTGCAGTGTCTTCAACGGTAAAATATAATCTATTTGACAACGTGTCTTTTGCGGGTCAGATAAGTAACCTGCATTAGCATAACCAACAAGGTAAGAATTAACTCGATGGCTGAGGGGCGGTGACACTCGAGGTCGCATAGGGGTGAAAAAAATCCAAATTTGTAGTGCCTTTGAGGTAACGAAAGATGTTTAACCAGCCTAATGTTTGCATGTAGGCGTGTTGCTATATCTTGTTAAAAAAATTAACATCGAAGGACATGTCCGGTCTAGTGCACTGAGCTATGTACAATGAAGCGTAGATTGCATTGAGGTATGGAACTTCAGGCTCCGAAACCTCTTCCTCATCTTCTTTAGGACGGAAAGGATCTCATTTTGCATCTAGCATCCGAACGACCATAGGAGTACTCAAAGTTTTAATTTTATCATCATTGAAGTGTCTCAATACCTTCTAAGTGTAGTCCGATTGATGAACCAAAAAACCATCCAAACAATGCTCGAACTTCGGGCCAAGACAATATCGAGTTTTCCCAAGATCTTTCATCTTAAGTTCTGACTTCAGTAACTATTTGACCCGAACAATGTAAGTTCTTTCGGAACTTTCACATAGATTTCTGTATCAAGACACCCATAGAGATATGTGGTTACCATAAGCTACATATTTAATCTTTTGAAAATTACCAAACCGATAAGGTAGTAGAACGTTATAATGTCTCCTCATGAGAATATAAGGTACTTACTAGCACGTGTGGTCATAAAGCGAGTATATAAGATACTTACTAGTGATTTTTTGGTCAGTAATTTAATTTTCATGAGAATATCTTGGGATAAATGCACGTACGAGCTTTACTTCATGATGCAACGGATCATGAGAATACCTTGGGATTATCCGTTTTTACATTGCTTCAGCCCATCAAGTTGTGTGATAAGTTTATATGTAAATCTGACTGATTCAGTTGACCAAAAAGGGGATTATCCCATAACACCCCCTTATAATACAATTTCTACATAATGTTCAGTTTGTCCATAGTGCTCCATAGTGATCCTGATAGGTGTTGAACAGAACGGATTTTAGCAACCCACAGGCTGTAGTTTTTCAATTAGAAACACTCTCATAGTCGGTGAGATTGTGTTTTGCAATGAAGATATAATTTTAGTATCGTCTCTTGTTCAATAAATACTTATTACATATTTAAAAAGTATATTGTTTGTTCAATAAATGCTTGCACCTGGTGCCTTTAGTTACAAAAGAATTTCTCTCATCATATTAGTCTTTAGAAAAATATTTAAAAAATAGATGGGTCCGTCAATTAATTATATATACTATCGTTATTTTATTATAGAGTGTGTTGGAAGAAATTCTTAAATACATAAATATATTTCCTGTTCCACAACAAAATCTATTCTTTTTGTTGTGAGAGAGGGGTAAAAGAGAAAAAATACAACACAAAAACGTCATTATTTTACCTACACCTGAAGATACTGTTCATCGTTGCTGATGATCATATGGAACTTAATTAAGACTTAAGTCACTTGATGTTATTTGATTAAGGATAAATTACATAAAATTACCTCAATTATTGAGTCAGTCACACAGTTTCATATCATATCTTTAAAAAAAAAAAAAAAAAAAATATTAAAAAATTAAAAAATTAAAAAATTAAAAAAAAAAAAAAAAAACCAAACCAAACCCACACCCAGATGCCCTTCCTTCCTCCTCACCTCTTTGCAACTCCCGCTCTCTCTTCCTCCATCTCCACCTCCCTTCCATGGCGCTCCTTCCCCTCCCCCTCCTACTCACCCATCACCCTCTCCATGTACGCCCGCTCTCCTTCCCCGTCATCGTCGTCCGTACGATTTGTGAACCCTACCACACACACACCCATCACCCTCACCATTACTACACACCCATCACCCATCTCCGTCACCGCATCCAAACATCACCAGAACCCTAACGTCTTCAGGAAATCCTAGCCCCCAGAACCAAGCCGGCTCAGCTTGGGCTGAAAAGCGACCCGGCAGCGTTGGTTGTGTGACAACGGCCTGATCAGAGCCGACAGAGCCCTTTCACCAAATCGCATTCCATTCCTCCGATTCTCACCGACGACGGCCTGACCGTTATTGTTCTTGCTGTTTCAGAACTAATTCTTTACCAAAATCGAACGACCGGGAGATCCGGGGTGGTTCACGAATCGTACGGACGACGACGACGGGGAAGGAGAGTGGGCGTACATGGAGAGGGTGATGGGTAGTGGTGAGGATGATAGGTGTGTAGGAGGGGGAGGGGGAGGAGCGCCATGGGAGGTAGCTAGAGATGGAGGAAGAGATGGCGGGAGTTGCATAGAGGTGAGGGGGAAGGCAGGGGATCTAGGTGTGGGTTTGGTTGTTTTTAATTTTTATTTATTTATTTAATATTTAGTTAATTTTTTAATCTAGTTGGAATTGAAAGTGGATCTCGTCTCAAGTTACATCATTATTTAAAGGAAGAATTGACAGATAAACTGAAGGAAGATATAAAATTGTAACAAATTCGTAAGATGAGATATGACATTGATATTTTTAAAAAATAAGGTATGAAATTGTGACTAGTTCAATAGTTAAGATAATTTTATGTAATTTACTCTTTGATTAAATTATTAAACCATACTTGAGCTTTACCATTTTGTTTTAAAAGCATTTTGTTTCTATGTGCAAATAAATTTCCAGTTATACATTCAAACGTGATGGTCCTTAATCAACTTAGTTGGTACACCTACTTATTTTTGCTCAACCAATCTTTCACCATCGTATCCATTCCCTATCACACCCGATCAATCATATATCCTTGCCTTACATTACACGGTCCCGATCAGATTAATGAGTCTTTTCTCTTTAACGTTTGCTAATGACAGACAGTGACCAGCTTACAAGAAAAAATTATCAGAGTTTGCTTAATCACTGTTAGCACTTAACAAATTATGAATAACCCATAAGTTGACAAATTATAAATCATTCAAACATCAATTTGTGACGAAGTAAACTGATAAAAGTAAATAATGGACACGGGTTTTATAAAAACAAAACACTAATATATAACACAATTTAACCACAGTAGTGGAAATGTGTTGAGCTCTTGCATGACGATGTGGGTTCAAACTCCGTCGGTGACTAATCTAACATTTAATTTAACAAAATCTATCGTTTAACAAAAAGAAAAAAAACACCAAACGGTTTTAACGTTCCAAATCACTAGTTCCCTAACAAATTAACATGTCCCCTCAATTAAGCTCACTTACTTTTCTTTATCAATTAGCTAACATAATGCCATACCATAGTGTTTACGCATATCTCTCTAAGCCAAAAGCTATAAATGATTATATATCTTATCTATGTGAAATTGTCACGCTGCCATCTCGTTCTTGTTTCCATAAAACATAATTACAAGTTAAAAAGAAAACATCTTATCCCATGAGTATATGCATAATGTATAGAGTCTGGTTATGAAACCGACGTCTATGATACTTCTATAACAAAAACAAAAATGACAAGAAAAATTAATATGAATCCAAAACAATTAATAACATACAGATTCTTCTATGCCACCACGTGTTTCCGTCTAGGATCTTTGATTTTGATCTTCCAATGCCCATTCGGAAACCCTAACTTTCTCGCCTTTCTTCGTTCCCAGTCCAAATCATTCTTCCTTATCTTCGTCAGCCCACAAAACTTTTGCAACCCCTCCTCCATGCCGTCGTGAAACCTCCACCACCGCTCGTGCGCTACGTCACTAGCGTAGACAAGTTGGTCCGCCACATCCCAATTGCAATCATAATCCCTATAACAAAGCCATGGCTTCCATCCCAAGTAATGTATTGTATAGAGCTTCGGTGGATCTGCCCCAAATAGCTCGTCCTTAACCGTCCTCTCGCTTGTCGTGTTCGCCCAAAAATTCTTCAAAAAGTTCACCCTCCGCGGCAGCCGGTGCCACCACACGAAGACCTCGTTGAGGTAGCCCTGATCGCCACCGTTGTACGAAACAATGTCGCTTCGGTGGTCCATCAAAAACTGGAACGTGCAGTTGGAGGGCTCGATGACCATGATGCCGGAATTGAAGATGTAAACGTCGTTGCCGGTGGCTGACATTTGTGGGAAGTGGAAGAGAAGGTCGAGGTTTCGGAGGATGATAATGTCGGCGTCAATAAAGATGATTTTGTCATATTCAGTGAGCTGCCATAGTCGGAACTTGCTGTAGTTGTACTCGTTGTAGGTACCATTTTCAGCTCTAGGGTTTCTGATTCGTTCAATGACGTGGAGCTTCCAGCCGGCGGCAGAGAGAGCTTCACGCTTGGGGGCGGAGATGGAGTTGTCTAGGAGGAGGACAAGGTCGCGTTTGGTGCCGGTTTTGAGTAGACTCCTGGCTAGGGTTATAGCGCCACAAACGTACATGTCGGAGGAGTGGAGGACTGTGACGTAGGCTTCTCGTTTGGGTTTGTTTGTTGTGCTTCGAATTTTTGTCAGATCATACACTTGATCTATTCCTGTAACAATATTAAATTCTCATTAATTATTACTGAAAATTTGATATTACCTCTTGAAACTATATTCTCCTCTACTAAAACTCATCCCCTTTTGTTTTCTTGAATAAAACTCATTGACTAGCCTCCAACTAAACAAATTCTTTAATTAAGTTTGACTTTTCAGATTGTGTATTTTCCGAATGCCTAAATTACCCCTATTAATACTTGGATGGGATTTTGTTATATCCATTTAATTAATTTTATATATTTTACAAAATAATTCATGTCATTCATTGTATATTCAATGTATTAACTTTCAAATTGTTATAACGTGCCAATTGAAAAATAATAATACTAATTTCATAATTTTGTACATTAAATATATAAGTTAATTTACCTACCAACGCAACAATAAACCTAAAACAGCTTTGGCTAATACTCCAATCCCTAATACACAAAACAAAAGCTATATGTTCCACGCAATTTTTACCTACAAAATAGTCTAATTTACCCATTCCATCAAACCAAAATTTAAAGGGTCTAATTTACGTACATGATTTATGTGCATTAGATTAAAAGTTTATTTAATTGCCAACAAGCACAAACCCACAACATTCGAACATTATCTAATATCACTATTTTTTTATTTTTTGGAATAGGTAAGTATAATATTTGTATGTAGGTAATTACATGATTCAAACAATATTATTTTTTCCGTACAAGATATGTCTTTTTTTTTTTTTTTAATTTGGTAAATTAATTTACATATGTTGCTAATATTTATGATACAAGAAAGGCAAAATATCCATATGGATTTAATTGCTCATCATAATTAGGATGAGTAAATTAGGATTTTGTGGCATAAGTTGTAAATGTATTGTAATAGTTGGTCATATATTTGTCTACATGGTAGGCTATTTGAAATTTGGGTTTTATTTGAATGTTTAAATTTAGATGGATTTTTATTTGAAAAATAGGAGTTTCAAGGGCCTATATCTAAAGAACCCTTATTATAAATTATAATCGTCTAGTAATGTTATTTGGATCACATTTATTATCAATGTTAATTATACTTTTGTCATATGTTTTTTTGCTATGTTTGTTCTGTTTATCAAGTTAACAAATTTTTTACCATATTTCAAAATCTTGTAATAACTCTTTTTAACTTTATACTCAATTGTTGGTGGTGTACAATTATGTAGTTATTTCTCTAATCACATATTAATTAATTTATTTAAGAAAAGAAAATAGACACATAATCGTAGATGACCGATTAAATTTCAAAGGTTATGGCAGAATTTAAAACATACCTTGTTGTCCCCATAGAGGCAAAGCCAAATTGCAAGTGCCAATTGGCAATGATACCTTTTGCCGCAACCTAGCCATATCTGGCTCAAACAACCACCAATCCCCTTCCTGTTTCACCAAATCATTACACCTAAATATTTCGAGCATTGGCCTACACTTGCTCCAAAACACCACTTTAGTTGTCTTCCTATTCCAATCCCTCCTTCCTTTCCTCACAGCCAAATTAGCCGCTATAAGATGAACTTGGAGCCTAAACACCTCCCTCCTCCACCCTTCTTCTGGATACTTGCAAGGCAATTTGGCAACCACCATGTCCATCTTCTCGTAAATTTGGAAATCCGGCATTGGTATCTCTGGGCAAGTTGGGACGTCACTCTCTTCTTCTTCGTCGATCCACTCAGGAAATAAATCATCCCATTTGAAGTTATCCGAAACCTGATCGAAATGGATTGGAATGGTCTTTCCATGCTTATCCCATTCACTCAAATCATTCTCATCCATATTTACCATGCCAATTTTCATCCCTTTTCCCATTGTTTCATTCAAAAAGCTTGGCACCTCTAGCTTGCTCATATTGGCTTTAAGCCTTGATGTATTGCCTTTAATCTCGTCCAATACAGGCTCCGTGATCTTAGCTCCATTTTCCACCTACTCACAAAAATAAAAAAAATAAAAAAATAAAAAAATCCCTTTTATTTTTAAACAAATACATAAAACTACCAAAGAACAAAATCAGTTGTTAATTACCACCAAAATGATGATTACTAAATGCGCAAGTGATGAATACTTGTGCAATCGTGTCAACTACTAGAAAAAGGTCGAATCATTAGATCATTTATGAAAGGACTTGCGTGCATTTGTGTACAAACCAGCGCAAACGAGGTAACACGAATATCTCCTGTTAAAATAAAATTATAAAAAAAGAAAAAGAAAAAAAAAAGAGCTCACCTTACCTTGTGATGGCACTCTAGCAATGAGCACCTAATAAGAGAAGCTGCATTTTCGTAGTATATGGAGGAGGATGGCTGGAGAAGAAGGGCAGCATACACCATGAAAAAGAAAGCAATAAAAACCAAGTTGATTCGAATCAACAAAGCAGCTTTAGAAGGTGTGGCCTTCATCATCTTTTTAAGACCAGCATATCCTTCCATCATCTTTTCGGGACTCTCTGCATATATGATATATATGCTCTCTCTCTCTCTCTCTCTCTCTCTCTACGATTAGATTACATTAACATAAACACTTGTTAATCACGGGGGATTATAAAATGTGTGTTTCATGTGATGAAGTTAGCTGCAGTGGTTAGAGAACTAAAGACAGCGAAATTAGAGTAAATCTCAAAGAAAAGAAAACCATTTAAAAAGCTCCAAGTGTCGCTTCCTTGTTTTGGACTTCCTTCCCGTCGCAGACAACAACAAACAAGTTCGGATCACATAAAGCTTTAATACTTATTGTTAATGACAATTACTTCTTCCAGAATTCCTAAAATACCCTCATAACTACTTTTTTTTAGTTGTAACTTTCTTTATATCAAATTTTGTTGATTATAAATGGAATAACATTTACATTTCGTAAAGTCAAATCATAATAACATGACATGCCAACAGTATATATGATAAATATGATAAAATACAATACATGTCCATTTCAATTAACTTTGTTTGAATAAATGCTAGAAGCAGTCGCCCATAACTTTGAAGAAAACAAAACCAAGCCTGGAAGATATATTTCCTTAATAACCCTTTTTGTTTATAAATTGTCTTATCTTCCCGTTAAATAAACGCAATAGACAGTGAGGCAGGGGTGACGAATGGCAATGTCGGTGCTTTTATGTGAATACAAAGGTATCCGATCCAGAACTCGTCAAGCAAGCAGCCGGCCCTCCATCTTCAACAACCAAATGGTTGGCCCGTCATCTTCTTTCATGTAATGAAATGTCGATTTTACCCTATGCGAAATTGTGAGGTTGCACCTATATTTATAATATACATACATTTTTCTCATTCCTTTCTCACTCTTAATAAAATGCAATTGATTTATAACTTATAAATATGCTTTAGGTTAGATATCAGTACATCATGGTACATGAAATGATTAAGGGACATCACCTATCGTGTGGTAAACCATCACACTTTATTTTTTTAATTAAATGTTAACATCTTGATTTGGGACCAACTGAAGGATGGGGCCTCGAGGAAAATTTTCAAGAGTGATACGGTTTAACAGCTCGTTTGGCGCCTAAATTTATTTTTTGACAAGGTTAGAATTCTAGCACTTTTAAAGTGGTTTCTCGCTGATGGCTCGAACCCCTTTGGAAGGATTGAATTAGATTTGATAAATTTATGTGATTGAGGGTCCGTTGCTGTTTGGCGGGCAAGGTAAAATTGAGTCTTATGGATATGATTGAATTGTCAGGGACACGGCTTATAACTTATGTACAATAATAGATTAGATAATCCCCTCTATTTGTGGATTCATAACTCATCAAGTCAATAATGTCAATCTCATATTTGGACACAACAAATAAGAACTGGACTCAAATCCATTTTAATTGGTCACAACTTATTCTAACCATCCCACCAAACATGCCTAAAGGTATGCGTGATTAGATGAATTTTCATTTCAAGCAGTTTGGAGGGATTGGACATGAAAGAAAACTCATAATCCTACTATTTTGTGCAGACTGAATGGGATAAGTTTCCCTCATTCGACATTTTATCCCTGAATATACTTTAAACATAGTGAATTATCCAACCAAATCTAATCCAATCAATCACTAAACCAAAAAAATCCTTCAACTAACAATTCAATAGTTGGTACATATATTTAATATTATTAAAAATTGATTAATCTAATCTCAATAAAAAAAAAAAGGACATGTATCATGCTTTTCCTTCACAACCACTCCTAAACATAAAATTCCAATTTACAGAAATTAAACCCGCACAAGAATTCAACAACCCATCACCAAATCCACTTAAACAAACAAAACCCCAACACCAAATTCTCATATAAAATTAAACCTGCCTCCAAAATTTTCTTGCTGCGTAGTGTTTTTCAATAGCAGGTTAGTCAAGCTTACATTAGTTGGTTTGGGGTTTGGTGGTTCACATTTCTTTGCGGTAAACTATTTCTCAATCTGCATTATTACTTCTTTGGAAGGAAAAAATACATGGGGTATGCCTTAAAAATTTAGAACTCTTGGTGATCCTTAAAGTAGCGCCCGAAACAACGTCATCTTACAAGATACTACACAATATAGTGTTCCTGTCATAGCACTTCCATATAATTTAGTGTGGCCTTTCGACATGTGTTACATGGGGTTTGGCGAGCAACATGGTGTTTAAATAGTTGAATACTCTAACCCCTCTACGATATCAGAAACATTGATACACTCTCTAGAGAACAATGATATCAAATTTATCGACTGATTTTCCACTAGTGTCCACAGTTGGCAATTCACTGACCTTGGGCAAAAACATATTCGGATTGTTCCATTCTGCCATGTTCTCTATCAAGCTCGGGTTCTCCTTGCACATTATCGACCAGCTACAAGGGAAAAGAAAGAGGCCTGAGTAGGATGGCTGACCTGCTTTATATATGAACCTTCTGAAACATGCAAGGGACTCACTGCTAATTTAAATCCTTGTATGGTTAGTTGAAGATGGCCTTTGTATGCTTCAGGGTTTCACCACATCTTGAATGTGCTGTGAGTAGCTTTTTCCTGGTGGAATGAAAATCAGGTCTTCCCAGCCTGAATTCTTTTCACTTGACTGCATTAACATTGAAATTCTTTCAACAAAAAATACTAGAGATTAGGAGCCTACGAATTAATATAATTCTCACAGTAACAAGACCAAATACCTCCATTTTTCTCAAAACATCTTCCAAACTGCCAACCTATTGAAATATTTAATGAATGATGAGAATGCAATAATGTAACGAAACGGGACAGGACTATAATTTAGAATTTCAATCTTGACGAGACATTTTTTAGTCCTATTTTACCTCTCATGAAAGTTTTTGCACATCCACATTTTTATTTTAAAGAACATAAAGTATTGAGGGCAGATTATATATTACCATTATGTGTTGAGAAACCCCTGGTCCTCTGGATGCTCTGGATACCTTTGACAATTCTTTTTCAATATCTTCCTGCGCCGTGGAAACAAAATTAAACAATGGCTAATCAATCTCATAAAAGCAAGTTACTTGACAAAGAAACACGTCAACAAGGGCTCAAGGCCTTCAACCTACCCTGGTGAAATATATTGGGCAGTAACGCTTGTTTCTCTTCTTCATAACCAGAAGGTCGGACTGTAAACACAAACTCCTCATAAGATGAATTGGAATAGTAATACACAAGCAGACAACACAACAATAAGTTCTACTGCATGAGGATCACCCAGATAATTCCCACAAATTGCATTAGAGCTAGGAACAGAAATTAGTCACTTAAAATGACCATATAAAGTCGGGCAATGTCTGAATTACTAAACTTATATTTTGTTAATATGCAACGTAAATGCACTACTCATGTGTGAATTACTACTGTCATCCATATTATGCAGTACGAAGTTGGAGGTGTTCATCTCCTGGACCATCCTACCCCAAAGTTAGCACATTTTGAAGTACTCCTGCAACCTAAATTATCTACTAAGACCATTAATAATCAACAAATTGAGTATTCTACCTGAAAAACAGGAACTCCATCAAATGCACTCCTGTCAGCGGATTTGAGCTACAACACAGAATATATGACAGTGAGCCAATCTTAATTGTTTCAGAAATGAAATTGTAAAGCCATATCATACAGTCAAATTGTAAGGACAAACAGTAGGCTTTCTGATCAAACACAGTTTAACATGTTGCAATACATCCATTTCATCAAAGCTGCATATTCCCACTATGTACTGGATGTCTAGAATGTTAATATTCAGAAGTGTCAATATGGAGCATATATGACAGTTATTCCTAGATTTTCTTCTGAAGATAATTTCTAAAAAAGAAAGATGTCCTGCATACTTTATCACAAGTCCATAAGAATTGGAATAAAAAATAGAAATACATCTCACTTATGAAGCAAATACAAAATGAACCGAAACACTAAACATTAGAGAAACCAACCTCAAGTGCATTCCTTATTTGAACTGGGTCAGGCAGAAACCGGAATGCAATTCCTTCAACCTTCAGCATGTACACCTACAAGATACATAGCAAATGAGGAACGCTAAGTAGTATGGATCTAGCATTGTACATATTATCTAAGTTTAAGGCAACCAGTAATGTGGGAATTTATAAAGTAGAGCAATAGCCCTCGTTACACTGGAAGCGGATAGCATGTCATATGGCCACCATAACTTTGTGAGGCCATATAGATTACGCTGTCCACTAGATGGAACCTCCTCAAATTTTCGCCGCTCACACATGTTCCATCCCCACTTCTTCAACTACTGAAATTACTCAGGACACCAAATTCTAGCCTAAAAACGATTACTTCGCAAGTTCACAGGCAATGTAATAATATGGAAATATCTTCTACTTGTTTTTCATTTTCTACCAAGTCACCTGGTCAAGAGTAATCGGGACAACTTTAGCCGCACTTCGTAATTCTCTCCTCGATCGAACCTGAATCACTCAAACACAAAACCAGCTGAAAATCCAAGCCACAAGAGAACACACATAACACATTCCGAATAACTGACTTCACAACAGTCCCAATTTAACTAAATGCAACTTTTTTCGGTCGAAAATCAAGCAAAGCATTAAATTTCCAATCGATGACCCAACTGCAACTAATTCCTCCATCCAATTAATCTCCAAATGCAACTAATTAGCAATCCTACTATTCTATCCCTCCAAAAAAAGTTAAAGATACTAACTTGAGCGAGGAATCCTTCGGCATCTTCGTGCCGAAAGCAAAGCAATCCAATGGACTTGGCCTCATTGGGATCAGAGATGAGCACGAACTCATTGTTCGAATTGCTAACCGTATATACGGCCGTCCCGGCCAGGCTCTTCGCCACGTGGTCAGAGCTGAGGGTAGCGGCCAGAGCGTGATTTCTTTGAGCCAGCCACGCGAAGGGAGGAGAAACCGGCGCCGAACGCATGCGCCTGCTCGCCGCCGGCGCGAAGTTGCCTGCTATGGTTCCGGCGAGCCGCTTGGTATCTTCGAGGCGGGTGGAGAGCTCGGCGCCGAGGCGGAGGCAGTGCTGGTGTATGAAGCTGGAGAGCGATAGCAGAGGGTTTGGGCGCGGGTAGGGCTTTGGGGACTCCATCGTTTCAGTGCGAGTGACGACTGACGAGTAGCGCAGAATGGTTGTTTCGATAAAATCAAATTTCAAAAAACAATTTGTTTAAAAAAATAAAAAATAAAACAATTTGTTGGGCTAAATATTGCAACCCAGTTTGAATTGTAATTAGTTGCCCAATACAATCCAGCCCATACAGTTCGGTGCCCCACTCCATAGTTGGTAGTTTTTTTGGGTTAAAATCTATATTTTTATTTAAAGTAGAAACAATATTTGTTAGTTCCAAAGTTATAGCTTAACTTCTTGTATTATGCACCTGCGGACCCAGGTATAAAGTTTTGGTGGGCTATAGCATAGGAAGATTTTTAGTTATTTAAGCTTAAAAATACTAATTATTTGACATGTATTATGATTTTTAATTGTCGTCGAACACCTAGCAAATGAAAAGTCTGAATTATATAACTGGTTTTAGGAAAAAATAAGGGTTAATAAATATTATATAAACTCATTACTTTAACCAAAACTAAAATTTATTAATAATAAATAAAATTTCTATACCACATGCGGTCCCTTATTTTATTCATTTAAAAGTTCGAAGGCTCGAAGCCTGAAAAAGAGACTGTAAATTTCTTACTTCAATTTATTACTTTCAGATTTATTATTATATAACTTTATGTAAGCAATAAAAAAAATTGACCATTTAATTTTGTAGTAATAGTTTTAGCTTAACTCACCCACCGAATAATTCGTGGCTCCATCATTGGCATTATGCTTTACGTGACTTCTAATCGCCATAATAGTATAGTAAACTTTTGTTTTGTGAAAGCTTGGAACCGTATCTATAATATATTAGTAGATTGATTAATGTATCAGTTGTTGGCGTTGGGTCACTGTCGCTTTCAGTCAAATTAGGTATAATACGGAATGAGATTCCGATGAAGTATGCTTTTGTTGACTAAAGTGTGATTAATTGGGTCTAATCCATGCTTATTTTACCGAATGAGATTCTGATCAAGTACGCATTTTTTGACCTACTAGGCTACCATCGATTTTTATTCACAGTTTTTGTAGAATCGTTAATTGTTCATTAAGGGTGAGAGTCTGAGATATGTTTAGATTGAGACAAATGGTTGAAAAGAGTAAACAAGGCTAATTAATTATGATAATTTAATTAGCTAGGTTGGTAAACCTTTTCCCCAAAGATAAAGATAATTAAGGCCTACTACCAACAAAGAAAATAAAGTCGAAGGATTGGATAGAATATCTACCAAATGCAACTATGGATATGTCACAACATCATAATTCATTATGTTCTATGTAATCATCCAAATCTTCCCATAGTGGGAAGAAGATGATCCAAATTTAAATGAAAGGGAAGTTGCAAATGGGAGGGCTAAAAGTTCAAAACTTAAAAAATGGCATGATTTATCTTAAAATTTGGCATGATTTATCTTAAAATTTATCTCTAATAAATGGTTAGGCTATAATTCTATCGAGCCTATTAGGCCATTATTTGGCCCAAGGGGCATCAGGCTAGCCAAGTATAGCCCCCTATTAGCCCTTTTTGGGGCACAGCTCTACTATTGTTAATTCAAATTGAACAGCTAGGTTTGGAAACATTCAACGATTGTTTAATTAGCTTAACCAATAAATTTAAAGTAAAAATTTAACACTAATAAATTATTGAAGTAACATAGTTCCTTTGGTTGGAGATGATACATGTATTCGACCTAACATTGTTTCAATTAAAAATCATTTCTTGCAGGGCTATAAATCTGGATGGGGCTATGTTTAGCCCTTTCAGTTGGAGATAGTCTAAGGGTAATGCTAGGTAGACCAAATTTTAAAGTTTTAAACCATATTACAAACTGAATGATGTATTACCAATAGGAAATAAACATGCTAATTGATACTTAAGTTAATCCAATCATTAACAACCACACCATTTGGTTTACAAATTCAGTCTCCCTAGCATTTCTAAAATTTTATCTACAAGTTTAGTCTCCTTAGCATTACCCTTACTAATATTATGGCTTAGAAAAAGCAAAGTTATATTTCATAAGATTCACAGAAGTTTAGATGACAAACATATAGGATTGACGACTATGTTACTAATTATTTAGTTTTGTTTTCGCTTTAAAATAATGCAAATTTAGAATAATCATTCCCCTATTTCCTTACCTCTAACCGCTAGAAATCTTGGTAAAGGACAGTGTTCTTGAAGTGTGGCTATATCGTATTTCCTCATAGACACCTTTTAAAGGTGTTTATAGATTCTTAGGCACCAAATCAGAACACCACAAGCTAGTATTGCTTAACAGGCAGTTTCTAATGATCAGTTTTAGGCACCACAACGTGAACGGTGAAATAAGTCTCTTCGGTTCCAGAGACTATTTGAGTTATGTAACTCAGTTGGATCCCCCTAAAAGCCATATTGGCACCAGATCAAGGCTGAGGGTTACATATTTACCTTCATACTTTTACCGTTAGCCTATAATTAGTTATAATTAGATATCAAATTCATTACATAAAATTATTATATATCTTCCCTTATATATGTAAGTCAAAACCGACCTATCCATCCACAATTAACAAATAAAGGTATTAATTACCACTTGATTAGATTATTATCATCATTTTTATCATAAAGTAATGATCGACATATTAATATTTCTTTTATAAGATTGTGTATTAGATAATGGATAATGTGTGTTTCCCCACTTACGATTAATGAATTTTTACCGTCCGAGTATTATAATCGAAACTGTTCATCCTTTTTATCATTATTTAAAAATCATATTTGCAAAAATTATTCAATTTAGAGATCTTTTATTCATTCATATGCATAAGACAAATAAACGGTTCATCATGAGGATGCTACTTATTATTAAAATTGCTGATTGGTTTACAACATATAGATGACTATACAGATGACTAAACGATCTTCAAATTGAATGATTTTTACAGATATGATATATAGATGATTATAAAGAGAACGAATGATTCCGATTATAATGTTTGGATAGTAAAGGCTCATTAATCGTAAGTGGCGAGGTGGGGGGGGGGACAAATAAGTCATTTCATAGAGACACACAAGCATTATCCTTAAATAATTAAACAAATCCACTATTTGGATGATGGGGATGTAGATTAATTGGTTTCATATCCATACTCTTTATCCATTTGGCATCTAAAGTGGTAATCGTTGTCTACTCGTCCATATGATACCCGTAACGTTAAAGACATCTCACTTTTGAACGTTGAGTCATGGAAAAAAAAAAATACATATTTTGAGAAAATTATCGATGCCATGGTGTGGTGTAGATCAAGGAATCAAATTTTAATGCTAAATAAACTAAAATATGTTTTGAGTAAAACTTGTCCTCACAAACTAAATTGTAAGTGAAAGAAGTGAGAATGTGAAAATAATAAAGTCCCACATCAGTGATAGGAGAACCTTGCAATGGCTTATAAGAAGTTAGGTTACTCTCCATATAGCCAATTGGTTTTATGGTGTAATCCCAACTTTCTTCATGGTATCAGGTTAGCTCACTTATGAAACCCAACGGCTACACGTGTTCAACGTCACTTGTTTGTGTTGTCCACTTATTAGGCTTAATAATTTACCACACGTGAGGGGCGTATGAGAATGTGAGGACAAAGTTTCACATTGGTGAAGAACCAAACCATGCAACAACTTCTAAAAATTGAGATACTCTGTATATTACTAATTTGTTTTATGATGAAATCCCAAATTTCATCAGAGAATACCGAAAAGTTCATGCATACCAATCCTTCACTTTTACTCGATGTGAGATCTTTTGAGGCAATGCTATGTTTCCCTTTATTCTTAATAAGGACACCACTATTACAAGCTACATGTGCCCTAGTTTGCTTCTTGTTTGTATTGAGAATTTCACCTCGGCGTATCCTAGCGTACTTTTCTAGGATTGAGACCTCAAAACTATTTTTTATTTTTTGAACAAACGATATTATTGACACTAATTGGGAGGTGATGAGTTTAGCCTCATAATGAATTAGCAATAATGTGGCTCAAATTTGCCTTTAACAAGAATCGAATCCAAGTGATAGATTGTCTTAGTTGATAAAGCCCTATTCTTTAACATATTGTATCGTGAGTTCAGACTTTTCCCCTCTTCTATATCTTATAGCAATAATTGCATTGTTTGTAATAATAATGATAATAATAAAAATCTAAATATTTTTTTAGTACGTACGATATTATCTACACTAAAGGGTGGAGGAGTGTGCTAAACTTTACATTAGGCTATCCATAATAGTTTGGTTTGAATTCGCCTTTGGCACGAATCGACCTAAGATCTTTTAGTTACAAGCGAAAAGAAACACCATTAGACCGTAGTATTAGTTGCAAAAATCTTAATATTAACCTGCCAAAAATAATACAAGCATTTTGTAAAAATTCTATGTACACCTCCATGCTATTAAGAGTCCTTCCATCCAAATGGTTCTAAGATAAAAATAAAAAAATGCAAACTAACACAATAAAACCACGCACATTGTGGGCACTTTTTTTATTTTATTTAACTTTTTAAAAGGTCAAATGCTACTTCTTAAATTCGATCCTGCCACATATTTTTTTTAAAAGTATTGTTGGGTAAAGAGTTTAGAACTGAAATTTGGACCTCATAAGATAAGATAAAGTTAAGATTTATTTTAAAGTAAATGATAAAATTTGAAGGGTTTATTAAAGAGTGAGTTAGAGTGTATATTTTTTAAAGAGTTTTAATGAAACATTCCTGTTCATTTTTAACGAAAAAGATATTTTTATTCTAAAAAGTCACTCATGGTACTATTCACTTACAACATATTTTTATCATTTTAATTAAAATTCAAAATTTTCATACCATTTTCTTTAGTTTTTTTTATTTGTTAAAATAACATAAAAGTGTCAAATCACCTAGTGAATAACAGTATTTTTAAACAAAAATTTTACCAACTCCTTCGGAGATGCTCCATTTGACCACGGTCAAATAAGCATCTATGCACAGTCACCTAGCTACAAAGTTCCATGCTTTGCCTTT